TGATCTCAAAACAGGTTTCTGTTAAGTTTCGCGATGAGTTCGGCTTTTGTGCTTTGCCATTTCAGTTCGAAATAGTGAGCCAAATTTTCTCGAACTTCGTTGATGGGTGTTCTTCCAGTTCTTTTCCGCGAAGTGTTACAGTTGTAGACTTGGAAAAGTGCCCTTCCTTAGATTGTGACTGAATTCCGAGTATTGTTGAGTGGTGTCTATTACGTCCATGCTCTGCGATTGAAACTCAATGTCTTTTTCGATGTACTTGTTTGCCCTTTTCAGAATAACCCTCAACCGACTAACCCTTGGAACTTACACTCGCCAAAGAAAATGTCATGTCGTAGCACGCGAGCTCGAGCAGCCAAAATTGTGCTAGAAGAGCCCTTGGAACAGACCAGGAAGATTACCGATGTGTTCAAGGTGAGCTCGCCATCGTCTGAGTTCCTCCTTCACTTTCCGAACAGGGGCCCACTTTATTCGGCAGAAGTTTGGCATTATAATGATTTGCTCTCAATGTACCATTGAAGGTCACAAGAGGAAGAGGAAGAACACAGAAAAAGCTTCACGGCGATGAGACTCGCGTCGATACAAAGCCCCTCCTGGCATCGGGATTTATTCAGCAGGTGAGCTGTAGGCTATGTTTGCGAAATGCTATCGGCCTGTTCAAATTTCACTATTTCAAGGAATTGACTGAAGGCGTTTGTTCATCAGCAAAAGCGGAAACTATATGTTCACCCCCAAAGAGAGCGAAGAAGGTGTGGCTCAGAACTGAGTATTATTTGATTTTATCAAAGTTCACGATTTATGAGAAACGTTGTAGTGTACCGATCACACACAACGAAGCGCTAGAAAAATTCTTTTCGCCACTGACGACAACAAAAAAAGTTCGCCAAAAAAGGAAATGGTTGTTGAGGTCAGCCAAACGGATGTACTGGTAGGCGTCTTATTTTCGTTCTTCTACCTGAATACCATGACTAGATCTATCATTCTGAACACAGGTTTCATCGACTGCGACAGTAGAAATGACAACTAGAACCAATGTCTCCGCAACAGTGAAATCAGAGACGTCGAGAGAAACCGAATCGTGCGTCGTTGTATCTCCTGCTAAAGATTCGTTGATTTCTAGGGCCGAAGAGCTGAGCGAGAGGCTCACATCGAAGGGTACGTGGGAATTCTTCTGATCTCATGCTATTCAGTTTGCATGAGTCCGAGTTTATCATTTGAACTGCGAGAAAATTTCACTTATTTTTCACCAAGTATTCATTTTTAGCTGCCCAAATCAAAGCACGTGCTCGCATACGAAGTGTTGCGGAACTTCAAGCAGTGCTGGCCCAAAAAGGCGCTGTCAAAGCAGTTCATGAACAGGCACAGCGGATCAAGAGCCAAAAGGTAATCCTCTCAGGAAAATATTCCTTGATATGGGTACCATTCTATCAAGCATTTCTTGTAATCGTGGAAGTTATAGGTGGAGGAACACGCCAAGATCCTCAAATCACCAGTGAAGTCTGTACCAAAAGGGTCAGCGCGAGGAGAATTAACAACTAAGGCAAAGTTCAGCTCACCACAAAAGGTGTATTTCAAATGCATTCCCTTCTCATTCTTCCTGACAACGAAAGATTTTCAGCGTTTGGAACCGTCGACCTCTGTTGTGCCTGATTTCATTCTTCCCACGCATAAAACACCTGCCAAAGCGTCTCTGGACGAATTTGAGCTGAATGAAACGAGGTATTCAGTGTGCTGTACCCGAAATGTTCACAAGTGTCTAAGAATTACATTCTACCTGATTCAGGCATGTCTTTGAGTACGGGAAAAGCTTCACGACTCATTGAGGAAGTCAAGAAAAACTCCACTCTTCCTCTGCCTAAGCAGTACGAGCGCCTGCACGACACCTTCCAGTCGTGTGATAGGGTGAGTGGGTTTTACATCGGGCTCTTTTACGCGTTCAGAAGTATATCCATTCGGCTAATTATTTATATCAATAGAGCGAGGTAAACATAGGAAGTTGACCTAGAGATCAAGGTGTTAAATCCACTTAGCACACATCTATATTTGCAGTGCACTACACTGCACTGAATACAAAATTATTGAGTGACATAGTCGGGCGCCTCCGGCTTAGGAGAGGGCGGGGGTGAAGCTTTAAGCTCACTAGTCCCTAGTGAAAGGGCTTAGAGCTCATTTTAACTTAAACATAGCTCATTTTAACTTAAAGTCTCACTTCTTCGAGACCCTGTGACGCTAGATTGGTAAGGTGAGCCGTTCATGCTTTGTTTTCTCCCCCGTAAGCTGAGCTGCGCCTATTTTATCTACTCGAGGTCCTATTGTTCACTTTACTACTGCTCGCAAGAAGTTGTGCGAAAAAGTCGTATTTCTTATGTAGGTTGTCTCCATATTCACCAACCAAGGAAGGCGATGTGCCGTTCTAGAGATTCAGAAGAATGTCGAGAAGAATACACAACTGTGAGTTTATCTTATTTCTAGATTTGTTTGATTTAGTTTCGTTTATTTTAGTTTAGTTCTAGTTCTGGATTCGTCGTTCTTTGCGATCGACCGTTTTCTAATTTTGAGTAAAATCCGTGCTTAGGAGCTTTACACGTAAACATCTGGCTCAAATCATCCATGTCTACCCAACTTCGTATGATGTTCGTCTAGACAAGCGGCGAAAAGCATTTGGTGGTGATGCGGAGTCATATGGGAAGAAAGAGCTCATCATGACGGCAAATCTAGTGGATGGTAATTTCTATTTTTTTTCAATCTCGTTTTCCATTCCTATAAGGTCATTGAATTTTTCTTGGATGGGATCACATACTGCAAATACAAGAATATCTGTCTTTGGCGGAAATGGTAGCATAGGATTAGTGATCACCTAGTCCTGCAAATAGATAATCGATGACCATTCGCTCCATACGCGACAGTTTACCTACCTATAACTTTGATAAATGCAAAAATTTAGATTTGACGGGATTTATGCTGCCTGATACTCCAGTAAAGTGTGATGATCAACCACTTCCCTCAGTCACACCGAGTAAATTAATGTCTCCTCGAAAGAAAGTGGTAACGGCACTTCCCAGGTGAACATACGTTTTTCATCTGCTCAATATATTAGTTGTTGATAATTTTATAATATCGGCTATATATGTGTATGCATATGTGCACGGTCCAATTCCACGGTTTTTCCACGGTAGATTGTTGATTGAGAGTAGTTTCAGAGATCCAGTGCTAGACACTAGGCCTCGTCTTGAAGGTTGGCGTATGACTTGTAGAAGTCATGTGTTCAGGCATAAGCTGGTGGAAATTGCGAAGAAGTTTCATCGAAAATTCTTGGAACGCATAGGATGTGAGTCTTTTCCAGAGTTCAGCCCATGGATCTGCCAACATTCCGTTCGTTTCAGTCACTCTGAAAGATGCCGAACTCGCGCGATTACGCCGCTTTCATCCTAAGTTTGATATTGAGCAAGAATGTGAAGAACTGGAACAGGTATAGTTCACTCCCTTGAGTTACGTTGTACTTGCACATTTGTCATTTGTTTACCGTTTTTATCAGTCTGACATGTTGGCTACGAGGTGACTAGACACTATGCACGCGTTCCCCCTCATTTCTTCTTACATTCAGGTCAGGTCGAAATTCAGAGCAGCGAAGCTTCGCCTTTGCTAGTCAACTGAAAATTTCACTTTATACTGATCAGAACATCGCCCTTTAGTGGAGAAGCTGACGTGGTGGAAAAGTGCTGTCATTTGTGCTCAGTCATTTCGAAGAAATCCAGTTCACTGAACGAAGGGAGATCTACCAGGAGCCATGTAAAAAGGCGTCCAAGATGTAATTAAGAGCTCAAAGTGCACTGCGTCGAGGAAATTCCCTAGTAGAATGAAAACGTTTCGTTGAACATAGGCAAAACGGTGGACGATCGTTATTTGATAGTTCTGACTAACTACGCACCTCGTGATTAAGGGCGGATACTTCCGACGTTTCCGTTACAATTTGTTCCGTAAGATCTGTTCGACTAGTTCTAAGGGGAAAATCGTTGGAAAAGTCACCTCTGAAAGAGGAAGATTTGCGCGCACGCAATACTTTGGCCACCCCTTACTTTTGACGGAAATATTATTACATGTTAAGGCTAAACTCCCTGAAGATGAACATGACGCAAGTGAGCAGCACTTCGAAATGAAGGATTACTTTGCAATGGTCGACACTAGCGTACCACTCCCAAAAGCGGTTTCGGTTGGTGTCAGCCTTCGTTTGCTTTTCTTTCTTGCTTCCTTTTCGGATTCTGTGTCGTGACAGGCTGCGCTTGAAGATTTGAAGAGTCCGGTGAAGAAACTTATCAGCTCTAATTCGGCAGTACCTCTCTCACCGCGTCAATTTGCTGAAAAACAAGCCTCAAAACCGAAAGGATCGATGTCTCTGCTCGAAAGGGTAAGATTTCTCTTCATATATTTTTCGAGTTTCGCTGATGTTTCACTACAGATTCGTGCGAAAGAAGCTGAAAGGAAAGCTGCCGAAAAGCTAAGAGATCCTGTGATAGAAAGAAAAATAGAACTGCTCCAGCGCATTCTACATGGCCTCTTGCGATGTATCACAACGTAAGCTTCTTTCAGTACATTCTTATTAATCATATTCTTGTGAACATTTTTTGAGAGAAGTTCCGAATGATTAATTGTGGCTTATAGGTACTTTGCATTCAAGAAAGTTCGTTCAATGGACTTGAGGACGCTGTCTGAACAGGTCGCAAGGAGCCAGTCGTCTATGAATCGTGGTGAGTGTTTGGGCATATAGATTCTCCCGCAAATTTCAGCTCCACGTGCTGATCCTTAGTTTTCCCCCTTTTATATATCTAGCTTCGAAATTTAAATTTCGAATTTTGGTTGTGAATTTTTCAGTTCCGTCCTGCTTTTAGATTTGCTGATGGAACATCTCACGATACTCTGTGAGGTTGCGCCGAGTTATCTGGCGTTCACGGAATTAGGTGGTAAGAAGTATCTTCAGTTGAAGGAGAACAACTACAATGCCATCGAGAAAGTAGTAGAAGAAGAGGTGGCACGTCTACGGTCCTCCTTGCCATCCGTGACGCAACTTCAACAAGGGGTTCCTGTGGAGAACGCGGTAAAGAAGGCTGCTGTTAGAGCTCTTTTTTAGTGGATAACCTTTTTCATCTCACTCTCGGGTTAGAAGGGTTGAACGAAATGATGCATCAATTATTCTAATTCTTCCTTACTTCGTCGTAGCACGACGCTATGTGAGAGTGCGTTCATACTTCGAAATTCAATCGCCCACAGCGCTCGACATGCGCCCAACAAGCGAGTGAATCGCTCATAAAGCGCACATCGACTGAGTGCGACGGGGCGCTGCACAGTCAAAGAGCGGCTATCATCAAAAAATAAGTTACGACAGTCTCTGTCTGGTGTTGTCCGAGCGCTATAAATCGCACGTCGAGAGCTACGACAGCCTGGATCGCGAAGTATGGAAGCACTGTAAGGCCGCGTTCATAGCTTGCGTTCGTGAAGAAATGCAGAAATGCGGAAAATGCAGAAGTGCGGAATCTGCAGAAAAGCAATAGATACTTATCGACTTGAAGAAATGCAGAAATGCCGAAAGTGAAGAAGTGCGGAATCTGCAGAAATGCCGAAAGTGCGGAATGTGCAGAAAAGCAACCGATACGTATCGATTTTCCGCACTTTCGGCATTTCTGCAGATTCCGCATTTCTTCACTTTCGGCATTTCTGCATTTCTTCAAATCGATACGTATGTAATGCTTTTCGTCATTTCTGCACTTTCCGCACTTCTGCATTTTCCGCATTTCTTCACGAACGCAAGCTATGAACGCGGCCCTACAGTTGAAGAAGACGATCAGCCATAGGGATTAGACCGCGTTCAGACTTCGCGATGCGCGATTGAATCGCGAGCGATCCAGCCGAGCAATTCAGTCGCGCGATCGCGAAGTCTGACCACGGTCTTAGAGCGATCAAGTCTCCCAAGTAATTGTGAAGCATCATGTTGCGACGTTGAATATAACTTCCGAGCATTACCCGTAAATCACTATCTTTCGCTCAGCTTTACTCTTTTCACTAAAATTCACGACCATGAAATCACTAGAAAGTACCCTACACCTCACTACAGTACACCTCACTTGTGCATGAAATTATAGGTTCGTTTATTGTCTACCTTCATTATATGGTTCTATGGTACATTATATCTTATGAGGTTCATATGCTTTCATGTTTTTCTCATTTCTGGGACTTCGGCTTATGTCTAAAATTAGCCATTATTTCTGTATTTTGCCACGCAAAATTGTTTAGTTGTATATTGCGTAAGAGATTCTCTAGAATGCATGATTAATGTTCTTCTGAGAACTGTTTTTTTTCCGTATAAACTGTCAAGCATTTATTATATAGTCACCGGAAAACATTACAAAAATTTACAAATCAATGTAGCCCGTCCAGTCAAGACCAATGATCCATTTCGCGTAGCTGCGATCATAACCGCTGGTGTCCTGCAAGAGGGCAGTCAGAAAGGAAAAAAAAATTAATTTGGGGCAAATGGTTGCTAATCTGGCCGGAATAGAAATGATTTGTAAAGGAGAAAACACGGGATCCGAAACTCGAAATTATTGTCTCAAAGGACAACACTGAAGCCGGAAGATTTGGAGGCAGTTCGACGACAGGGGGCGCTGCTTATCATGCAAGTCGACCGATCGTTAGAGAGCCTTTTCTTGAGTTGTCAGGTTTTACCATAGTATCTCAACGAGCTTGCTCCAACTTCACTAGAGTCTACAAGTTTCACCAGAGAGATATGTAAACCGAAACCAGTGTAACACCGAAAGTGCAAAATGCCCCTCCCCTCCCCAGTCGCCGAAAGTCGCCGAAATTGTTCGCAAGATTATATGAATCCAAAGAAACACGCAGTGTTCCCTACTTTTGCCTGGAGGCAGAGGTCGCTGTAACGTCTGGACGGCGCGATCAGCGGTGGACCTCGGCTCAGCGACCACATGGCGTTGCCTAGCGGAGCGGGTAGTAGTCCGAAATCCTATGGTATTGGCAGAAATTAGCATGGTGAGTTGACCAGATACGCTCTGACTCAGCTGCTCAGTTCGTAAAATCAAATCCCTGTTCAGAAGGTATTCCTTCCCGCTGAAGTCGCGCGCTGAGAGAAATAATGGTCTCCTGTGATAGGATAAAAATGGTGCGCGCGGATGTATACTCGAATCCCTGAGATCGGGTAGGCGTGCATTCTTCAACTTAACCTGAAGGTGTCTATGCTTCTGGTGGAATATTTCCATCTTGACACAACTGTTGTCGTGTCTCTGTCCAACACAGAACAAGATGACAGTTGTCCCAGACTGGAATATTCCACGAGTAACCATTCCGTGCCATGTTCAAATGCCACGCCTACTCTGGCTCAGGGATAAGGAGTGTACACTGCTTCACATAATGACAGTTCGAACTATGAATCTTACAAAATTCCGTCTTACATGACGTTCGAAAATGCCTCCAACTAGGAATTGTGGTAATTACATACCAATAGCAATTCGCGTGCCAACACCAAAAGTAACTCGGAAGAACAAGCTTTTTTTTTTTTTTGAAAAATGGCACCCTGACAATTCCACAAAATGATAGTTCCACCAAACAAATCTATCATCCAACAACAAGGGTACAACAAAACGAATGAATTGTTAATTTAGTAATCTATTGGAGCTCCATTTCTCCGAATAAGTTGGAAAATGCGGTTGTCCATGCTCGAATAGAGGTTTTCAATAAGCTTTCGGTCGACATGGTGCCATGCATCAATGATTGACTCCTTAAGCTCACGGACATTGTGGAATTGTGCATTACTCTCATGGATCATACGCACCATGAAGCCCCACATCCTCGATTGGGTTTTAGTCGGGGCTACTCGCTGGCCAGGGCAAAAGAGCGGTTTGGTGACGACTGAACCACGCTCGAGTGCTTCGACTGTCATGAACTGGTGCATTCATTCACGAAAACGAGGTCTTCTTGCCGATTTCTACGCCAGAAAGGAGGAGACCTCGTCGCATGACATTTAGATAATCGGAAGACTTCATTTTCTTCGAAACGAAACACAACTTCAGACGTCCCGTTGATGTGATGGCAGCCCAGACCATAATACCACCTCCTCTGAAGTCCCGCCTAGAAAAATGAAGCTTCTCTTTTCTAAAATCGTGCCAGTAGGATTGATTTCCGTCTGCCGACGTCGCACTTGTCGTAGGCACTGTGGGAAACAGTGCCTTTCTCATTTTCCTCCTGAGAATGAACTCAGACTTCTTCAAGACACGCCGAACAGTTTCCTCTGAGACGTTAGGCTTCAAAATTGACCTTTAATTCCCGGCACGACATTGTAGAATTTGATGCTTCTCTCGAAATACGGCGCTTATC